TTTATTTATATATTATGTTAAATTTCTATCAAAAACTTATATTTAAAAAATTATAAAATCAAATTAAGTGCACTAAAAATTTAGGGAGTAGTTTCGTATTTTGAAAATCGTGCAATATATTTTTTATACGGGTATGTGAACAGTGGGCCCAGCTTCTTTTTTTTTTTGTTTTTATTTCTGGGCATGTGAATCATGGCTGAAATTTAACTTAAAGCCCTCAAACTCGCTAGGGTTTTAGTTTAAGCCCCCAAACTTTGTAGGGTACCCATTATGGTGGTTAGAAATTAGTTCCTTCTACACGGCTGCTTAAAAAACTTTGCGTGTGAGGGCACAATAACCAGAATTGCTCAAACTCACTTTTTCCATTTTTGGTATTTACGGGTTTGAGCAAAAACAAATTTCAGATGATTTTGATTAAAATGACATATTCCTAATATATACAGGAGTTAGCAGATAAGTATTGAATAAATCTTATAATTGTTTTCTGAAAGTTTTGATCTTGACTTCTTTTTTTCTGTGAATTTTAAGAAATTCTCTTCACTCCTTTTGTTCTAAATAACTATCATCTTTTACATTAAATTTGTCCTTCATTTTTCAATGTAGATATTTTTTTAAAATTTTAACTTTATTATTATTTATTTACTTTAATTCATTATTCAATCACAAAAGTCTTTTATAAAATTTTTTTGAGAGTATTATAAATAAATACAAATATTATTCTCATATCCTAGTTTAAGAAAAAAGTAAAAAAAAAGAAGAAGTTATTTTGTAATAGAGTAGTAAGTATTCAACTTTTATTTTTTTATTTATGGTAACCGGATGGAGAGCTTCTACAACATCGTTTCTTCAATCTCATCCTTTGTCACTATTTTGAGAATCGCTATTTCTTCTTATTTTTGATGGTCCAGCACGGACAAATGGAGTAGTGGAAATGATCACCTTCTCCATTTTTCCTCCACTTTATCTTCTTTTTTAAGTTTTATTACTGAACGTATTCCATTTGAACAATGGTTCTAGGACACCGTCTTTATCGACATCAAATGATATCCTACGTTCAAAGAAAAGACAATTCAAGTCCTTAATTTCCTCTGTTGACATTAGTGATTTGTGAGGTCCTGTAGGATTTTGGCCCTGCACAAGCGGCCACTGGTGGGTCTACTCACTAGATTTTTTGGTGTCTTTGATGGAGAAAATTGTAATGACAAGGAAATGATGAAACCAAAACTTTCTCATGCTAGATAATGGAAGTTAATGCACACTACTTAGATTTATTATATCTAGGGTCAAACCCAATTAACATCACCAAAAACTTATTACAAATTACTGGATAGCTAAATGTAGAAATAGCAACAATATATATGTGTGTGTATATATATATATATATGATCTGCTCAAGATTGGAAGTGTTAACAGTAAAAAATTGAAAAGAATTAGATGAAATAGAGTACTTTATTAATGTAGTATAAAAAAGCTTACAATGGTAAGTAAGAACAAATCCTCTTCATAAATCTAGCTTTATTCATAGGGTAGTATATAAAATTTGCTTAGGATTACATTTTTAAGTGACAAAGTATTAAGTATTCTAATTTCTAGTAGGATTGAGTGTTACCAATATATAGTGTGATCCGCGAAGGTTTCTGCTTGGACCTGGATTCCTCTTGAGACTCAATTTGAGTATAATAGGGAGGGCGGTTGTTAGCAACAGAGACCTTTGAACCCCATTCCAAAAGCTCTTTGCTCGTATCATCCTTGTGAACTACCACCTCAATAAAGCACAGAGAGTCCTTTGGTCCTCTTGGAACCC